GGTGCTAGCTCCACTACTCTCATAGTCCCCACATAGCACCCTTCTAACCATTCCCAGTCTTTTATTTTCGGATTGAATTCCATTCCTTTCTGTATCATCTCCTCATTTTTTTTTTTCTCTTTCTAGAGTTTGTGAGTGCCTATCGGTCCACTCCTCTCCTCAGATTGTTGCATCCCTTTTCCAAGAAGTACCTCAGCATATGAGTGAGGTCTTTTCCCAGGCTATTCTCTTATGGGTTTATACTCCTTTTCCCTTCTTTCAGTAATATCCTTCAAGGTACTGATCTCCTTTTTGAAATGAGGAATATTCACCTTTAGTTTTCTATTTTCAACCCATATCTGATCCAGCCTTTTTTCCAGGGTCTTTTCATTCTTTACTTCCAGATAGCGTAAACCAAATTTGTTACCTTCTCTGTTTCTTCTAATTGGGCTGTATATTGCATACACTCTTCCAAATTTCAAAAACAATCTCCATATATCTTCATATTTCCAGTGATCTAGAAATTTTGTGAAATAAAATACTACTGCTTGGTTGTACAATATACTGTCGAGACCTCCATGAACTTGACTCCTTTCCCTCATCCTTTTACTTGCTTTGTGATGCTGATCACAATACCATTCGCTGTTCTATCCACTCCATCTTCTGTTGCTCTGTTCTCTCCAGCGACTGCCACTCTGTGCTCTCCGATGATCCCACTCTCCTCGTCTGCTACCTCGCTTTCTCTCTCTACCTCTCTCTCTCATTCTCAAGGAATGGGCATAGTAGTGAGTATATACTTACAATTGTAAAAAATAATAAGTATAAGCTAGTGTTAGATCCATAATTATACATTATTGAATGTATATCTCTTGTGTATACTTACAATTTTTTATGTATATGAGAAAAATTTAAATTCATACACTTACAAATTACATATTGTAACTAATAGTTTTTTTATATACTTACATCAATTAAAATTGTATAAGTATAATATAATTTTTTATATAATTTTTTTGTAAATATAGTTATAACTTATTTATATACCCACAAATTATAAATTATAACCAAATAGAATCTTATATCTATAAAATAGTGAGAGTAAGTAAAAATAAAATAAAAAACATAAATAAATGGCAAAAATGCTGTAGATAAATCATAAATCATTAATGAGATATGCACTGAGGGCTACTTTTATTTCCAATTGATTACGGAAGTCTTGCGTTGGATGTTGTGTTGGAGGCAGAAAGGTACAAATTTCTCCACACTTCTATATACATTATTACAAACTCCTGGGTCAATCTATTAATTTTCCCTCAATGGTGGAGCACATACACATTATACTCCACAACAGCATCTAAAGTTTTCAAGTCAACCGTGTGAGTCCTCGCCTGAGCATACCCACGTGCAAACCGGAAAACTCCGCTGCCGCCAACAATTGGCATCTCTCTTACGTCGGAGAGTATTGCGTTCCGCCCCAAGATGCTAAGGTTGCTCCCATTATACTTTCCTTCCATGAACGCGAAATTGAGCGCCATTAAAAATGCCCAATCGCTTTGTGATGCGGAGGCGTAGATTCCTTGTGCTCTTCCCACAAGTTTGGAAGTTATGTTGGGGCCAAGAGTCAGAGGGTCGTCCATCACAAAGACTTGACCAAAATGAGGGGCGGATGTGTTTGTCATGGCGGCCCTAGCAACTTCGACTGCGGTGGGGTTACGGCCGCTGACGATGTCGTGGAAGTAAAAGTGAAGGTGGATGAGTTTTTCTTGCTTGAGGTCTAATGTTTCAG